TTGCACCGACTTGCATACATTTATATACACTTGAATATATTTGTAGACACTTACGTTCACTTGTACACATTTTTACACGATTACACACATTTATACACATTCGTACACACTTCTACATGCTTTTTATACACATTTCTACATACATACGCACATTTGTACGCACTTAAATCATTTTTACACACTTACGTATACTTGCACACATTTTTACACAATTACACACACTTATACACATTTGTACACACTTGTACATTTTTCATACACATTTATACACACCTGAACTTAAATACATTTCTACACACCTACGTACACTTGCACACATTTTTACACACCTACGTATACTTGTACACATTTTTACACAAGTACACATTTATACACATTCGTACACACTTTTTTTATACACATACGCACAATTATACACACTTACGTACACTTGTACACACTTTACACAATTACACACACTTGTACACACATTTTAAACACATTTTATAAACACAGGTATGTTTCAAATTCAGCAGATGTCTTTCGATGGCATTTCAGAAATAAAAAAAACGAACAAATGTGGATTTTTGTCAAAAGGTATTAAAGAAGTCAAATGTCTTAATTTAAAAACTGAAGACAAGACAAGAAAGACCCTTATCGACGATTTTTTGAGGGTCTCTGTTAGGGTCTCAATTTTATCTCTCGATTTTGTAAAAACTATTAAACTACCTGAAGAAAAAAATAAAAGGCGATAGATATCTTTAGGTTTATTTATAGGATTATATTTTTGAAAAAATAATTTATTTATAACTTTTTTGAGTAAAAGACTTGTAATCGGGTTTAATTCGATTATATATGTACCCTTATGATATATAAATATAAAATTATATATATATATATATATATATATATATATATATATATATATATATATATATTGTTTTTTCTGAATAATTAAAGTTGATAATTAAAAAGTCAACAAAGCGAAACGATTAAGAAGTTCACGTTTATAAGATTAAGATCTTTTTCTTTTGACTTGAAATAGTTTTGATATATAAATACTCTGTTATATAAATATGCATTTATATTATATATATATATATATATATATACAGAAAATTTCTTTGATATTTCTACCATAACGACAATACTAATTGCATGATGTGAAAATGTTTTAAAAATTTATTAAAATATTTATATTCGTTCTAGAATATTAAAATTTTAGTATGTTATACTTTAATATGTCTACTATACCTACAAATACTAAAATTGATGACTTTTCTCAGAAGTTTTCAAGATTTTCAAGTTTTGCGAAAAAAGTACTTTCAAGAGTCTGTGAATTTTGAAGTGACATACTATAGAAGTAAAGATTCAGAACTTTATTAAAATATTTGTTTATTCTAGAATGTTAAAATTTTAATATGTTATATTTTAATATGTCTACTATAACTTCAAATACTAAAATTGATAAGTTTTCTTAGAAATTTTCAAGATTTTTACGTTTTTATAAGAATAGTACCCTTAAGAGTCTGTGAACTTTGAAGAGATAGGCATTAGAAGTAAAGATTTAGAAATTTATTAAAATGTTTGTCCTACAATGTTAAAATTTCAGTATCTTTTACTTCAATATGTCTACTAAAACGATAAATATTAAAATTGATAAGTTTTTCCGGAAATTTTAAATATATTTACACTCAGTATGTAAATTCAATTGATACGATGAATGAGTAAAGTTTTGGAAATTTATTAAAATATTTGTTTATTCTAGAATGTTGTAATTTTAATATGTTATAATATGATATATCTACTATGTTAAGTGTATAAAAATGTATGTAAAATGTGTATCAGTGTGTGCAAATGTGCATTACAGTATCGTTTGAGTGTGTATAAATGTGTATAAAGTGTGTATAAATGTGTATAAATGTGTATAAAGTGTGTATAAAGTGTGATAAATGTGTGTATAAATGTGTGTAACTCTGAAATACAAATTATCAACAAAATGGTTGAAACAAGAAGACTCAAGAAGAAATGGCCAAAGGACCTGCA